TTAAGAATAATTCATAAGGAAATGCATTCCTTATGCACCAATAAATAATTACCGATTACACACAAATATTACAGAAAAGAAATTGATATATTCTTTATATTTTTACTTTTATTTGTCTTGAATTATGATTGAAAGAAGCTGAATGAAATTACAAATTATGTAGTGTTTCAAACAACTCATGTATAAACAATAACTTTAATAAATATGATTTTACTTGTTAAAAAAACTGTATCCTCTTTATAAAAACGAAGGAATTTCACAATGCCGAAAAGGAAAGTCTTCATCGCAGTGTTAAACGCAGTGTTAAACCGGAATATCTATAATATTGATACATATAATCCTGGGTTTTAAACATGAATAGAAAATGTATTACTTACTGGGTAATTACTGTTTGTAACAAATTAAACAATGGTAACATTATAATATGCGAATTATCAAATTTCCCAAATAAATTGTCTATGATACATATTAATAGAACACAAAGAAGCAATTCAATGAATATATCTTACCTGTTGGCGTTGCGCCTATCGTAGGAAAAGAAAGTTTAAAGTTTATTATTATGCAAATTGCCGCGCCTAGGAGTAATTTTGTTGTCATGTATATTGCATAATTCAAGTATGTTACAAGTCACATATTTTAAACTTATTTTCCAATGAATGTTTTTGTAATGAGAACTAAATAAAAAAACATTAGTCACTACCCTTTTTTTCATTTCGACGCTGTACAAAAAATGTAATATTTTATATAAACTGCAGATCTGTATTTTTTATTGCTTTGGAGTGAAAAAAAAACTTTACCGAATGACAAGTATTCTCAAAAAAGTGTCACCCCCTTCTTGCAACACTGCAAACATTGTCTGCAGCAGTATATTCGTTGCCACATACTTTAGATAAATGCTAAATCTAGGTTGTACGAAGTGAATTATAGTTATAATGAAGTTGCTCATTGAATCTACATACGATTCTCAAATTTGCTTTATCGTGATTTTTTTAGTGGACCATGCTGCCTACAGTTTTTTTCGATTCGTCATGGTTGAATTAATTGAAAAGATAAACTGGGACACAAATGAGTATTTCATCATTTCATCGTTGGTCACAATTGCAGTAACATTCTCGAAAACACAAAGTTATCTCCTATAGGCGACTGATAAAAATGCATGTGCAGAATTAAAAAGGCCTTCTGAGATTGCAAACCTTCAACACAGCTGCAAAGTGCCCATCATTATAGTGATACTACTACCAAATTGTAAATAGTTTGTCTTATATCAACCGGATCTAGATACCACTGGGCCATCCTTGTATCAAAAACAACCCGTCCCGAATAAAGAATAATTAATATTGTTTCCATGGCAACCAGATTCACATACATAAAATCTAATTATTCGATTTTAGTTTTAAGTCAAGAGCAACAACCTCTTCTGAAAATTGCATATAAAATCTCAAATAACCCTTTTTGCAATTATTAATGCGGAATTATTAACAAAATAAAAAAAACGTAGCCTTATCCATGAGGAATCATTTCTAAAAATGTTGGCTGTTTCCCTATCAAATGCAAA